GATGCATTTGCCCTAAATTTGAACACACAACTTGTGGGGATGCAGGCCCTCTATTCGTTCTGCAAAATCTGAAAAAAAAAAACATTGTAAGATGTCTGAAATAAGACAAAATTTAATTAAATGACATGAAAAAAGTATAAAAGGTAGAATAACACCGCAAAACAACTACAAAAGTCTGTAGGGAAAAAAATTACTTTATGTGTAAGGAAAAATTTCTTATAATTAAAAAAAAAATAATAATGTTATACGACCAGAAAATAAATTTATTCTTACCTTGTTTGCAAAAAAAACTAATTTATATTTAAACTATTAGCTAATAATCAATATAGTAAATTTAAAATAAATAAAGCTTACTAAGTTTAAACCATATTTTAACAGTTGACATAGTAAACATATAACAGTCTGTGGAGCACCAAAGTAGAAATAAAGAAAAAGAATAACAACTAAATTTAAAACGTTTTTTAAAACATAATACTTGCAGTTAAAAACATAAAAAATAACTCTATCTTCACAAGACAATGAAGGTAAAGTTGTTAAATCGAACAAAATAAAAAAATGTATTAAAATGTTAATATTTTCTTAAGTATAATCCTTTTAACTAAAAACAACAATAAGGATAAGGACACAATGATAAAGAACATTTCTTTCATATTAAGTTTTTTAAAGGTCATTAGAGTTCTTTCATATTGCAAGTACTTAGTAGACCTATGAATAATTGCAATAACCGGTGATTATGAAAATTAATTGTTCTGTTGACTTAAATTTTGATGGTGTTTAGTGTAAAAACAATTTTTTTTTTGTAAACATAACTCAATTTTTAACTAAATTAATATTAGAAGAAAAAAAAATTGGTATTTTTGAAAGAATGTATTTATTTACAAACAAAACTTAAAAAATAGATCAATAAAAATATACATATAAAACTAAATACATTTAAATACCTCTTTTATTTGTAGATGTAATGTATTTTCCATTGCCCACTTAAACTGCACTTTCAGTAAGAGTAATTTATTCCCTTTAATAAATAGAGGGAAAATCCTAATGCTTATTCTAGATATAGAAGCTTTTATTTAGAATTTGAATTTTGTGCCCCTCCACATTAAAATCCATGTCATTCGAAAGGAAAATAAAAACTGCAATTTTACAATAACTTAGAAAATCAAACACATTTTATTTAAACAACAAAGTAAATGTATAACTTCATTACACTTAAAACATATTCATTACACATAAAACTTTAAACATACTCATTACACATAAAAACTTAATTACACATAAAAACTTTAAAACTTAAAATAAATATATATTCGAATTTAAAACGTATAACATATTATAAGCTATGGCACTAAAATGAAAAAAAACAGTCAAATAAATATTGTTATTTACTATTTAAATATGTAGTAACTAAATAAAAAAAAGCAAACGTAAATTTTTCTTAAGAAATAAAATTGAAAGATTCTTTATAAGTAAATTTAACTTGGCGCTAATTTACATCTCTAGCCCCAATTTTTTTTTATTATGAACTTCATCCTGATTAAGAATCGCATAAAAACATAGATCTGAAAATCAACAGAAAGTGCTCTAATTCGATGTTAAAGTTTAAATAATTACACTAAAAAACGCTAATATTCACCATTTTTTCATACTCGATTATAATTAAAATCTTTCTAAAAGATGTCTTTAAAAAAGCCTGACTTTTATTGACAATTTAAAGCAAAACTGTTGAAAATGTGTACCTCATTATTTTCTTATTTATTTCTGGCCACACCCTGTCTTAAATCATGTACGTTTAATCCCACCAATCTCTATTTGTCAGTCGATGTATGTGCAAATAGTTGCACTAATCCTTATTTTTCAGTTAATGCATATATATTTAATTGTGCCAATCCATTTCATATGTACATTTAAAAGGCAATATCTAAAATTAATTTTTGAAAAATGTATTCATAAAAATTTATTTTAGTTTAAAAATAATTTAATTTTGACAAAAATAAAAACCGGATTGCATTATTAAAAAAAGATTTTCTAAACGAATAATTTCTAAATGTAAACTTTGATGTAAAACGTTTTTAAAAAATGGCGAGTATAAGCGTTTTTTAGTGTAATTTTTTAAACTTTAACATCGAATTAGAACACTTTTTGTTGATTTTCAGAATTATGTTTTATACAATTCTTAATCAGGATAAAATTCTCTATCATAATCAAAAATAAAAATAGGGGGGAAGAGACGTAAATTAGCGCCATTTAATTTAATAAAATCTAACCTGAATATCACCACCTGACAATAACACTGTACTAAAAATTAAAATTCATGCAAGGCATGATTGAGTAGCTAACAAAAAAACAATAAAAAATAAAAAACAACCTACTTATATCTAAAATAAGGTCATCTTTAGCTTATATAAAATTATCAGCTTGTCGAGAAACAATTTCATCACATCACCTTCAAAACAAAACATGTTTCATTAACTAAAACATTAAATAGTCAAACTTTAGTAACTATAAAAAGAGATTGAAAAATTACAAAATACAACTATAAATAAAATCTATACATGAAAGTATATTCAATAATTATAATTTTTACGGTAATGATTAAAGAGATATTTAAAGATATTTAGAGATTTATGAAAATTTAAAAAAAGGAATTTAAATACTTATCGCGTGCACATCTGCAGTGCCTTGTGCATCACATGTTAATTATGTCATCAAAGTTAATAAAATCTTAATCATGTTAATTATGTTAATTATGTTAATTAAATCATGTTAATTATGTCATCAAATTAAATAAAATCTAACCTGAATATCACCACATGACAATAACACTGTACTAAAATTTAGATTCATGCTAAGCATGATTGAGTAGCTAACAAAAAAAGCAATAAAAAATAAAAAACAACCTACTTATATGTAAAATAAGGTCATTTTCAGCTTATATAAAATTATAAGCTTGTCGAGAAACAATTTCAACTCATCACCTTCAAAACAAAACATGTTTCATTAACTAAAACATTAAAAAGTCAAACTTTTGTAACTATAAAAAGAGATTGAAAAATTACAAAATACAGCTATAAATAAAATCTATACATGAAAGTATATTCAATAATTATAATTTTTACGACAATGATTAAAGAAATATTCAAAGATATTTAGAGAATTATGAAAATTTAAAAAAAGGAATTTAAATACTTATAGCGTGCACATCTTAAATACTTAACGCGTGCCTAAAATTTAAAAAAACACATTTAAATACTTATCGCGTGCCTTGTGCATCACATGTTAACTATGTCATCAAAGTTACTGAGCCCTCTCGGTTTAGAATATTTAACAGGAGCGTTGTTAAATAACTGTAAATGTCTAAATTTCTTTATTATTATGTTAATAATAAATAGTTTTAACTTTTAATTATTTTTAAAAACAATAAAATTTATAAAATAATTTAGTTTAAATATAATATTAAAATCTTTAATTATGTTCTTAATAAAAACAATTAAACCCCTTTACCGTTTAAAAATGTTAAAGTCACCGCGTGCAAGTTTATCACCTTGCTTTTTTTGTTGTTTATAATGCAAATCAATATATCAATTGATTTTATAAAGCAAAGGTCAGGGTTACTCTTTTTTTAAGATCAATAGATGTATTATAATATAATACATGTATTATAATATAATATATTAGTGTTTACTCTTAATATTCAAACAAAATTGTTAATTATACTATGTTGTTGTGTAGAATGCTGTCCAATTACATAACTTTTTGATAGTTGTATTGTTATATACTTATTGTTTGTTGATTTTTTTTATAGACAATTTAGAACAAGTAATAAGTAAGTCAAGTTTGAATTACTTAAGTTATTTAGTCTTTTGAAGCTATATTGTGTGTCGTATTTATGTTCCTTGTTAGTTTAGAGTAATTATATTAATCGAAATTTGACTTTTAGGGGAGTATTGGACGCAGATGTGTAAGTTTTAAAAATTTTAATAATTTTTAGCGTAACTTTTTAATACATTTTAAACAAGACATTAAAACAATTGGCATTTTTAAATGTTTTCATGAATTTTGAACAATTTAATACTTTTTAAATAATTTCTTTTTTTTATCTTTAGCAACCTTTAACTCGTTAATTTGTAAGAGATTTGTGCATATATACAATATAAGAGGGAGATTTTTTTTTAACGTATTATTCAGTTTATTTAATGTTTAGCTTCATTAATTCCTGTTTCCACTGGTAAGGGGTTTACATTTGAATTATGCAATTTGATGTTACAAATTAAATGCAAGATTATGTTGTGTATTATGTTTTTACTTGTTAGTAGTATATTCATCTGTTTCTACTGGTAACATTTATATATTTTTTGAATTTTGAGTTTGGGTTAAATACAAAATAAATGCAAAATTATGTTGTGTATTACGTTTTTATTCATCAGATATGTATATATATATATATATACATAAATATATATATATATATATATATATATATATATATATATATATATATATATATATATAATAATAAAACCTTTTCCTATATTTTATTATTATATACAAATATATAATAATAAAATATAGGAAAAGGTTATTTGTTTATTGTGTGTATAAAATATTTTAATATACAGCATTTGTGTACTATTTAATATTTTGTATACACATGCTTTAATATAGCATTTGTATACAAATATTATATTGTAAACATTTGCTATATGTTAAAATGTTAAATGAACACCTTATACAAAGAACCTATTTAAATATTATGTATACAATATTATTAATAATATTGTATACACAATATACAAATTCACTATTCGTATACTGAGTGTATAAAATATCATCACAAACACATTCTGTATAAATTGTCAATGATAATACTCAAAAGTATTTAAGTAATATTAAAAGTTATTTAACTTTTAGTTAAATTAACCTTATGAAATTTTCATATATAAAATTTTTTTAATGTTAACTAATTAAATTATTTTTTTAATACTGACACAAAAATTTTTTTTTTTACATAAACAAAATTTATCATAGGTTTAGAATGCTGTCCTTATAAATTTCCAGCTGACAAATGGAAAGATAATTCCAATGAATGGCCTTTACTTCAATATCATGACCTATATCATTACTTGATTAAAAGTCCACGTAAATTGACATAATGTTACTTTAGATTTTAATTTTTTATGATTTATTAAAAATTAGAAATATACTATTTAACTATAATTACAAAATTTTAATAAACTTTACTAACAATTTATTAACTTTGATATTTTTACAATATTTTAAAAATACTTAAAATATATTTACAATATTTTAAAATTACTTTAGGTTTGTTCAGCCCAGAAGCAATGGAAAATTACAAATCATTAGAGGCTTATAAGTACTTTGTTTCGGGATGGGTGCAAACAATGTATCATATATGGCTTGATTCTGAGTTTTTTATTGCTAAGGCTGATGTTTGTTTTATTGCTAAGGCTGATGTTTTACCGAATTAATGATACTCCATATCAACCATGCATTTCTCTGAATAAACATGGCTCAGTTCTTACAGCACATTGCAACTGTATGGCAGGGTAAGCTAAAATTGACAATAATAATTTAAGTAATAATAATTTATAATGGCAATATTTATGTGCAAAGTGATTGTTATGAGAGACTGAAATATGTATGATACAATCTTTTGTTATAATTTTTATCTATTTATTTTTATTTTACACTTGGAGAAACTTGCTCACATGTTGCTGCAGTCCTTTACAAACTTGAAGCAGCTGCTAGACTTGGTATTATAAGTCAGACTCCCACAGATTTACCATGTCAGTGGAATCAAAACTTTACTAAAAAAATTGAACCATCCCAAATTTCTAATATAGATTTTTATTCCACTGAAGCTAAAAAAAAGGTTACAAATAAATTTAAACACAATCATTTGGAACCAACTAGCATTGCTAAATCAAACTTTCTTGAAGCAATTAGAAAAATTAATGCAAATGTTGTAGGATTGTCACTGTTTCCTGGCATGAGCAATGCTTTTTTACAACATTCTGAAAATAATGTTCCTGTTAAAAAATTACCTAAACAACTTCGTAATTTGTACATGTCACACAGTATTGATTTTGATCATGCAACTTTATTGGCAGAATGCAATAAGATTAAGACATCATTTGTAATTACAACAGATGAAATAATATATCTTGAAAGCGTTACCAGAAATCAATCAGCTAGTATAGTTTGGCATCAGCAAAGAGCAGGACGTATAACAGGATCTGTTGCACATTCTGTGTTACAAAGCAATATTTGTATTCCAGCAAAGTCAGTAGTATTAAAAATAACTATGCCAGTATTAAAGAACAACAACGTTCCATCTTTAAAATGGGGTAGAGAGAAAGGAGAAGAAGCACTCATGGATTATCAAAATTCTTCTTTTGATCCTGAATATGTATCTGAATCTTTTTGCTTAAATTCAAAAAATATGCATAATCATTTTGAACTAAAAAACACTGGTTTAGTTATCAAGCCGGATAAATTTTATTTAGGCGTATCAGCTGATGCTGTAGTAAAGTGCTCATGTTGTGGAACAGGCATAGTTGAAGTTAAGTGTCCATATTCTTTGCGTGAGAAAGGATTACATGACATAATTCTCAGTAATGCTTTTTACTTAACATATGAGAATGGAGAAAAAAATCATGAGTATTACTGTCAAGTACAGCATGAAAATTACGTATGTGAAGTAGAATATTGTGATTTTGTTGTGTGGACACCGATTGAGTTTGTTGTTTTAGGAACCTATAAAGATACATTGTTTATAAATGATATGATTAAGAAACAAGAAATTTTCTGGGAAAACGTTATATTACCTGAACTTCTTACCAGAAAATTAAAGTTATCATGTTCTAATATTCATCAAAATAATTCTTCAATAATGAGTCAGTTCTGTATTTGTAATGGGCCTGAGGATGGAAGCATGGTTGGTTGCGATTGTTGTAATCAATGGTATTACATTAAATGCCTTAATTTAAAAAAGCTTCCGACATCTAAAACTTGGTACTGTAAAAAATGTCTAAAAAAGAAAAAAGGTTTATGATTTTTTGTTACTTGGTAACCTTTCTTTTAAAATTTTTGTTTTATAAAATTATATTCTAAAACTCATATGTATTGAAATAAAAAGTTTTAAAATAAAAAGTGTAAATAAGGTTTATAAAAATGTATGAAATAAATAATAATATAATAGTAACAGAAGTCTTTAATTGTAAAGTGTTGTTAAAAGTATATATAAATCCAAGTTAGTGTTACTAGGGAACGTTGTTTGGGTAAAATTTTCTAGCAAGATTAAATATAATGAAATAACTCAAAATAAATTTCCAACATCTTTATAGGAGAAGGAAGTAAAATTTCCTTTTTAGTATGTACGAAGATGCTGTAATATTTCGCGATCCTTATCCAAATTTAGGACCTGGTTTATGCCGGTAATGAGTGCCTAAACACTACCTCTTTATTGAGAAACGGGTGTATATTAGATGGATCGGTATTAAAACAAATTTTACGGACAAGACTTCATATTTTCTAAATATCCAATTATAGCAAATGTAATTTGTTATGGTATGGTCTTTTTATGGTATATAAATACCTCCAAGCCTACAATGTCGAAAATAAAAGTCCGAAAAAAAGAGTAAGTGTAATAAAAAAAAACGGAGTTTTTTTCATTAAACTAACATTGTTTAACTATACTAACCTATCTGGAAGCAATGCAAAATTGCAATCATTAAGATTTACTTCAAAATTTTAAACCTTTTCATTAAATTAAGGACCTTTAGGGATCGTCCATAAAGTATGTACGCTCGGAAGGTAAGAGGGGTCTGCAAATGGCGTATATGAGATGGGAGGGCAGTAAGTCAATTATAAAAGAAAGGAAACACTAAGTTAAAAAAATATCAAAAAATGTTAGATAAATAGGTTAAAAGCGTAGGTACTTTTAGGGAGGTGGAGGGTACTTAAAAAAGCGTATTACATAATGCGGAGGAAGGGGGGTAGACGAAAAAAAAGCGTACGTACTTTATGGATGACCGCTTATTTTTTTCGCTCATCGGTTACCAATAGTTGCAACCGTTATAAGTGGGCAGTCAATAACTTTTCACCATGTGATATAGTTTTTCAGTATTATTACTTTTTGACAAATTATAAATAAGAAAATAAACAGCAACCGTTCTAGACAAGACAAGTTCAGAAATTTTTCTTTCCCGTTAAAGTGCGGCTAGCCACGATTGTGGTTATTTAAGTTATTTTTAAAATTGTAATTTTAACACTTAGTATCTGTTTCAGTAATTTATATATTGAACAACTTAATAAGTACATTTTTTTTCTATTTATATATTATTTATATGTTTTACTGTGAACACGACTAATCGTTTTATTTTTAAAATTGACTCTTTAAAATCACAAAATACTTGACTCTTTAAAATCACAAAATGCAAAGAAAACTCTTTGTTAATTCAACATGTTGTGTATTCAATAAAGACAGGCAGTTCATAATGGCATTAAAAAACAAAAATAATAGATTGCTAATTGTTTAAAATGAGGAATTAAGATAAGTAAAATCATATGAAAAAGGGAAACAAACCCTTTACATACACGCTTTTTTAATCATCCCCTCCCTTATGTGAAATAATGAAAAATACTTTTTTAGGTTACCCCTCCCCATTATATGTGCACATGCTCTATGGATGTCCTAACTCCATGTTGAAGAATGGGGATAATACCAAATTAGGGATAGACTAATAATAGTAGTTGTTTTTTTTGTATAACCTTGGATAATTTATTTATTTTAATCACAATATTTTAAGTAGATGTAACAATACTGGTATCTAAATTAATCAATGAAGTACAAACAGAAATAATTTTATCACAACGTGAAAGCGTTTCATTCATTGTTTCATCTTTAATATTTTTCACTATTCGAAAAGGCAAAATTCCCTTTAAAGTTGTGTATCGGTTTTTAATCAGCCCTGTAACACGCTCTATATGAATACGGACAGATGCAATTTTTCTTGTTTTCTCTACATCACCTGAAGATAACTGATCCTTTCCTTTAGTGAAGGCAGGTACAAAAAGTTCAGCTCCTGACCCAGCAGCAAAATCATCAGCTAAAGTAAAACCACGGTCAGCCAAAATTTGATCGCCAGGCATGTGGTATTTAGTTAAATGAAAGTTTGACTCTCTCACTATCTGGTTGTCTGATGCTCGACCTCCCCAACATTGTGATGAAAAATTAACTGCCCCTAGTGGTGTACAAGATGTCATTACTTTAATGGTACAATGTTTCTTGTATTGGCTGTAACATTTTGCTCTAGCTAATAAGCAACGTAAGGATTCTATAAAAATTTTAAAGCAATCAATTATGCATGTCAGTCTGGGAAACTTTGCTTTAAAAACAGGTGGTATTGTTTTATAAATATCATTCTGGTCTTGCATTTTTATCAAGAACTTAAGTTTTACATACATAATATCAATCCATTTCCAAAAGTAGCTAATCATTGTCGTCTTACTGATGCTGGATATAAAAGCAAGCATATTAAAAGAAATGTTATGTTTTAATTTTATTAAAGTCATCAATATTTGATCCTTTAAGGCTAATTTGCTGAAATAATTTATTAGATCTTCACATAAATAATCCATCATCAATAACATAATTTCATATTTCAACCCTGTTAGCATAACACATTTTTCAGGGTTTTTTTTGAGCATCTCAATTGTGAATGTCGCACATTTATTCTGGTTTCTAGATACTAGCTTGAGTCTTTCACATTCCGCTCTTAAACTATTCATTTCCTAATAAAAACTTTCTATTTCTGATAAGGTAACTGGAGTTTGTAATGAAATTATAGATGGTGTTGCAGAAGGAAGCATATCGTTAGCTGGAGGAGTTGACGAGCTTGGCAAACATAAAAAATCTATTGTTTCATCTTCTGACTCATCTTTTGCATTAAACCAGCTTTCAATTCAAAAATTTTTGTTGAAACTGAAAATAAAAATAATTAGGTAAAAAGCAATTATTTTGAGGCAATTCTAATTAAAATTCTAGTGATTTATTTAAAATTAATTTATAAAAAAATGGCGGCTATCATTTTTTTTTTAATATTGAATTTATTTAAGAGAACAAAAAAATAAAAAAAGAGTGTAAAAAGTTGTTAAAGTTTAAGTAAAAAGCATAAAACAATATTTCATAAGCATATTAACTATAAACAACTAATTTATTAAAGAACTGCTAATTTTATAAAATTTAGTATATAATACTTGTATGTAAATGATTTTAGTAAATTAAAAAAAAGATTATTAAGCACAGTATATCAAAATAATAACAATATATAACAGTTAATATACTTTTTATATAACTTCTATAAAAATTTTGTCAATTGTTTACTCTACTGTTACTTACTGTTTACTAAATATTTATATCAATAACTAAAAAACTATCAAGTATGAAAAATGTAAATGTAAACCTACCTTGTTTAGCTAACTTTATTTTGTCTTCTTTTATGTCTGTCAAACCCTGTATATTTATATGATACTTGTTTTTTAGATTTGTGGTGGAAAACTGATGGGATAAAATCAGGATCATTGATAATATTACTTTTTTTACCTAATAAATATTTTTTCAATTCTTTATATATTAATTTATTAAATTTAATAAAAGTAAAACTCACCAGACAAAAAATGTTCTGAACAGACATTATGATACCGTGTTTTGGGAGACCATAATTTTGATTTGATGACTACACCATTTTTATCAACATGCGCACGATTTATTGCCTTTAACCACGCTTTTCTTCTAGTATCTTCGTATAGAAGAATGTAAAATCTTAAATTTGGTTGACTCTGTGAATTATTAAAACAAGAAAACCCAAATCCATAATGGTATACCTATTTCGCGATATTTGTGACGTAGGTCCGACCCGAAGGATCTTATAACTGGAACAGTAAAGTGTAAAAGTTTGCAAGCAACTCTTCAAGAAGCATTTTGTAGTGTAATCGCAATCAAACAAATGTGTGTGCTGGCAGTATTTGGAAAAGTTTTTAATGGACCCTGAATAAAAATGTTTTATGTAACATCAGAGCAAGCAACCTTTGATCATGTTGCTGGTATCCAGGTTGTGAAAATGTTATATAAACAGTTCAAATCAATCCAGCAGGATTGTTTTGCAGACAGACTGATTTTTTCGGAAAATCGATTAAAGCTTAGTGGTGAGCACAAAATCCGGATCAATCCATATCCGGATTACCAATCCGGATTGATCCGGATTGAAACAAAAGTAACAATCCGTTTAATCCGGATTAACATACCCAATCCGGATTATGATATAAATCGGCCCGATTTAATCGGGTATATTCCAAAAAAAAAAAATACTTGGAAAAATTAAATTTTAAAACTCAACACTAAAATAAACATTTGGTAAAAGTTTGAAGTATTTACATTGAGTAATTACATTGTACTTTTATTAATATTTAATAACAGTCGTCAGTCATGAGGCAATGTTATTTATTTTCAGTACTCACTGTTCTGAAGTTTTTTTTAGTCTACTAGTTACTAATTTACAGCTCAGTAATTTGTTATTACATTAGTACTTATTAGGTATCGTATCGTAATTTGTATTATATCATTATATCATATTTTATATATATCATATTTTAATATTTTAAATCATATGTTGATATTTTAAAGTTTACATAATAAAAATGTCTCAAATTTGGACAAGTTTTACCAAAGGTATTAAAGAACACAACAAGCACTTAGTATTTTGCAATGCCTGTGGAAAATCATTCAAAACTTCAGGCAGTCAGGTATATTATAATTAAAATGAAAAGATTTTATTCTAGAAATCTAAAACAATAATTCAAATATCTATAAATATAGGTATGTGACTTTTATTTATTTTATTTAGTAATTATTAATTACCATTTGCACGTATATTAAATAAAAGCAACTACTTACTGATTAAGTTAAATCATTGATTGTGTGTGTGTCATACTGTCATGTGTGTACTGAGAGCAGATGACTTTAAAATAGCTACTTTTAATTGTGATTAATTTGTATTTGTATTTGTATACCAGGCACATTATGGAATTATGCGAACCAAACACAATATAAGTAATGGACTTTCTCGTAATAAATCAACAAAAAGGTAATTATTTTATTTGGATGTATTGACATTACTAATATGGCCCATAAATTATTTTAATGCATTCAACATGTTATATAAGTTACAATATTAGTTATACTTTGAAATATGATTTGTAATTTGTATGTATTCAAATTTAATAATAAACTTAAATAATTATTAAACATATTTTAAGCTACTATTACATTAAAATATATTAATATATACTACATTCATCCTAATAAATATTAAAAGTTTTAATTTAAAATTTTAATTATAACATTACTTTGGAGTTTCTAAAGTACAAATTACAAAATATTTTATTATATTTTTAAATTTAAGACTGAATTATGTTTTAAGATTATTAGAAAATGATGACGGTGACATTGATAATGATCTGCAAAATAGCTCTAAATCATCAAATGAGACAGCTGATATTTATGATAATAATAGTATTAATACTGAAGTTAGCTGTTCACTATTAACATCTACAACAGGAGTATCAGAATCTGGAAACATAGGACTATTAACGCAGCCAAAGATAACGGAGATGTTCTTTTCACCATCTGTTTCAGCCAAAAGACAAGAGCAAATAACAGACAGTCTTGTATAATTTATAGCCAAAGATATGCTACCACTCTCAACAGTGGATGGTGTTGGATTTGTTGAGTTTATGAATAAAAATATCACCAAATTATGAAATACCAAGTTGGTTTACAATCAAAAGAAGAACTCAAGGACTGTATGAGAAAGAAAAACATGAAGTAGCCACTGAAATACAGAAAACAGACTCAATAGCACTAACTACTGATTGTTGGACAAGTAAAGCTTTGGAATCTTACATATCAGTTACTGCACATGGCATAACTAAAAACTGGAAAATAGTCAATTATATTATTACAACCTAATTAATGGATGAGCGGCATACCAGCATAAATTTAAAAGGCAAATTAGTTGATATTATGAAGGAATGGGAAATTGATACAAAAACTATATGTATTGTGCATGACAATGCGGTAAATATTAAGTATGCCGTTACTGCAATGGCTCCAAACATTAAAAGTAGGACATGTTTCGCTCATTCGTTACAGTTATGTGTCAAGAAAGGCTTGGAAGAAAATGAAATAAAACAACTACTAATTACTGCATCTAGAATCGTTTCACATTTCAAACACTCAACAGTAGCAATCAAAGCACTCTAAGTAGTACAGAAAAAATTAAAAATGCCAGAAAAAAAATTAATTCAGTCTGTTAAAACTAGATGGAATTCGATTTATGCAATGGTTGAACGACTTATTGAGTCTCGACATGGTATATGCATAGTTTTAAATGATCGTAATACCACTACTAGAACAACAGCAATATCACTGGAACTCAGCCAGAATAAATGGGAGCTTTTGGAGCAGTTAGTAAAAGTGCTCAAGCCTTTCGATCTTGTTACTAAAGTCTTGTCATCTGCAACAACTCCAACAATATCAACTGTACATCCTATTTTAAAAAGCATTGCCCAACACTGTTTGACTCCCAACGAATCTGACCTACATAAAATTAAAATATTAAAAGAAAAATTGTCACAAGAGTTCAAAGCAAGATTTTTTAGTCAAATGCACAGTGATTCTATATTTCTTTTAAATATTGCTTCACTTTTAGACCCACGTTATAAAAATGTTATGATGATGAAAGTGATATTTTAATTACCTTAAAAGTTTTTATTATGCATCAATTAAATTATGAAGATTCTTCAGTTAATGATTCTATTAATCAGCCAAGCTTCATGGTATCTTTAGATATTTTATTTCCCCAAAATGACAGTGGTGAAGATTTTAATCAAAAAATGAGCTTGACAAATATTTAAGAGAAAATTGTATTAACAAAAATGCTTGTCCGTTAACATGGTGGGCTGAAAATAGAAAAAGATACCTAATGATTTCGAAACTTGCCAAAAAATATTTATGTATACCATCAACATCTACTCCGTCTGAAAGAGCTTTTTCCACTGCAGGAAACATTATAACTCCAAAAAGAAATTGTCTGGCTGGTGAAACAGCCAAATGGTTAATATTTCTTTCACATAATGCTAAATTATAGTTTATATTTTATTTTTTATAACTTGAAAAAATGAAAAAAATATATTAATTGATCAGAAAAATCAATAAAATAAACTTTAACACCTATGACTTTTTATTTTTAAACCACATTAGGTTAGATTTGGCTATGAATTGTATACAAATACGCACATAACATCTCCTTTTTTTAATAATAAAAATAGTAAATACTTACTTGCTACTTTCTCATTCCTAGTTCCTACTTCATAGGTGGGTATCTAATAAAAAATTGCGAAAAACTCGAAAACCCTGGTGTATTTGCTATTAGGGGTCTTATATTGAGTAGATTGATCGTAATTCGAATTATTTAGGTTGATACTTGATAATAATGAAAAAATAGCTGATTATCTCAAAAACAATGAAGCCGGATTGGATTCGAAATCCGAATCAACGGATTGAATCCGAAATCCGAATCGACGGATTGGATTCGTGAATCCGGATAAAACGGATTGATCCGAAATTCGGATTATATAATTGTAATACGTTATCCGGATTGTTCAAAATAATGCTCAGCACTATTTAAGGCAAACATTTTAGAATCAGTAACAAGTTTAAGCTCTATTGATGAAGAACTTTTTCGACGCAGTCGAAGAAGTTCTTCATTAATAGAGCATAAACTTGTTAAATTAGAGCATAAACTTGTTAAATAAAGCATAAACAATATCTAAATTTATTTTTATGATGCAGCGCATAAAAATAAATTTAGAGATTGACTGCATCATGCTAAATTTAGAGCTGAGATTTGCCAAAAACCAGCATCCAAGCACCAAAAAAATGATGAAAGAAATAAAAGGAAGTTAGAGCGTAAACTATAAAAATTGAGTTTTAATGATATTATAAATTTAAATAAACACTTTTCTAACTACCAACTATATGATTTAGAAGATGTTATGTTAGGGAGTATTGTTGGGAAAAAACTAGACCACGAATGGTTTGATCTAAACACTTGCAAATGTGTTTTATATAATTGCAGAGTAGAAAAAAAATGATAATAAGAAAAAATGACTTGATATACACCATTTCTTACTGAAAAGATGATGAAACTGATATTGAAACTGTTGATGTTGTTTCTGGGGAGTTGCAATTTTATTAATTAGATAACACCATAAAGGAATAGCTTTTTCTCTTTCACCTGTTTTAATTTTGAAAGTTTGGTACAATTTTTTTTAATAATAATAATAATATTTTTAAAATAATTAAACAGTTTATTATAAGTTACTTATATACTTTTACCTTATTCTATTCAAATAAATTACTGCAAGTGTTATGATTTGACAAAAAAAATAGTGCAAGTTTTGTCACTTTACAAAAATTTTTGATAGATGGCTCTGATTTACTTTCACGTGGTGTCTATCGTTAAATATCATTAATCTCTTTAATAATACTGAACTTAATAGTAGTAGTGCGCTTTCGAGCCTGTTTGACGCGATACTCTTGGCAACCATTGCGTCCGAGGTAGTGACGAGAAAGAGTCTTACCTTTGCTTTATAAGAAAACGCGAGCAAATGTGAAACTCATATTGCACGTACATAAACTTCATGTTATGTAATGTTAAAACATGCTTAAACATATATCAAGTTCAACAGTTTGATTTTCACTTTAGAACTGCATTTCGTCAACCTTTGCTTAATTCCTAATCTTTTGTGTTTTTATCCGTTAAAAAACAATTTTT